GAGCGCTGGCCTTAAGCAAAAGACCATTAAGCAACAGCTGGAGGCCCTGACCTGAGCTCAAGTCCCAGCACCAGAACCCATACACACCAAGATTTCAGGGCCGTGTCAGGAGCTGGCTTTCCAATTCACCAAAGAGCCTCATGAGTGCAGGGCTGTCTTCTGCCCCGCGGGGCTCGGCAGGCCCAGGCTGGGTCGGGATGCGTGGCGTGGGCCCCCGGACGCGTGGCGTGGGCCCCTGCACGGCCCGTGGGCTCTTGTGACTCACACTCACCTCCTCGCTGACACGCACCCTGCCCCATCCACAGCACAGCATTTTACCCATGAGTGAACAGACACCCCCGGGTGCATAGCCAGCCTGAGCTCCTGCAGTAATCAACAGAGATGGAGCTCATCCAGATCCCAGTCTTCAGATGTTAGATAAAAATTGTTATGCTCACTCCGCGGTAAAGGCCGACGGGCCATTGCCAAGGAGCTGGGGCAGAGCTGGTGAGGCCCTGAAGCAGCCAAGCATGCAGGCAGACGTGGTGAGTTGCGCCGGCCTGTCTCTGGGGTTCCTGGTCCGTGCAGAGATAAGAGCTGCTCCGGGGCTGCCGGTGACTCACAGTGAGTAAAGAGCACACAGTGCTCACGCTGGACATGTTCCCAGAGCCCGCTCACCACCGACAGCGGAGGGGAGTGATGGAGATGTAGAAATGAGGAAGACGGGCTGTGTAAGGACACAAAACCAGAAAGGCCCACTCCAAAGAGGCTGGGGAAGGAGGGCGTGGGGGGCTGGGCCGGTGGGAATCTGGGGGTCCACCAGGCTGGGGTGTCGGCTTCTCAGAACAGCTAGCCTCCCACCGGCGTGGGGGCTTGCGGTCACTGCTTCTTGTGGCACAGTCCCAGGTCAGACGGGGCGTTTCCTGCCATGGCTTCATTGCCTTTCGTCAAGCGCAGGGCTGCATTTCCAGTCTGCTGAGGGACACACCGTGCCTGGTCTGCTAAAGACCAGCTGTGGCACAGAGGTGGGGCTCGAATCCGGACCTGGTGAAGCAGAGCAAGGCTGAGCACGCATGGGTGCCGGAGACCCATGCGCCGGGTCTGTGCAGCCCCTGGACATGAAGACCTGTGCTGTGCACAGCAAGCTCACCCGCCGGAGTGTCACGCTCTGATTTATAAATGGAAAACAGACGTTTGGAAAGCCTGGGCATGGCAGGATGCGGCTAATCTCACCTGGGAGATTCAGATCATGGGTCCCCAGGTTACAGTCTTGTCCTCCCCACGGACAGGGCCAACTGAGGTGTGGTGTGGCAGAGGCAGAGATAATGCTCTAAAACGCTCCTGTCCAGTCCCTCCTTGCTTGGCAACATGAACCACACGCTGGTTTCAGTCAAAGAAGCGAGTGTGGGTCTTGGGTGTGGGGCACCAACCGGGAGCAGAGCGTGGAGGCAGTGGTGGAGGGAGCTGAGTGTGACCCCCGGAGGTGCGGGGCCCGGAAGGATCTGACCCCGCCCCTTCCCTCTGCCATGGCTGAAGGAAGTAAGGACCAAGGGTCCTCCGCTGAGGTCATTTCTGGTGGTGTAGTTTGACTTCCAGGAACTTCCTTGCAGCAGCTGCACAGCACACTGGCTGGGCGGTGTTTCACCCTGGTGGGGGCTGTGTCATGTCCCAAGGACCCAAGGACAGAGGAAAACCAGCCCGCCTTCCGGAAGGCGGCTCTGGGAGCAGGAGCACAGAACCGTGATGCCGGGTCGTCGCTGACTGTGGGTTAGTAGCAACTGAAGACATGATTTTGCTGAAACACATCAAAAGTTCATTGTTCTGCAGTAATGAAGACTGTTCAGGAAGGGACAGAAAACAGAATGAAAGCCAGACTACTGCTGCCAATCTTTCACAAACCTTGGTGACAGTCACACCATCAGCCATGGGTCCCGGCCTTTTCCAGCTCAGGAACGCAAAGCAGTCGGCGGCCCAGTGCGGCCTGCCCCCCCCCCCAGCAGTGCCCCGGGGGCATGGTGCTGCTCACCTCTCAGTCTGACCCCTGCTGTGCCGGGGAGACTTCTAGAACAGTGGGGAACACTGAGAGCAGGCTCCCCCTGCTTGTCCTCTGTACCCCAGGTCATTAGAACAAGGAAACCCAGACATGACGTCTGCTGGTGGAGCGTGAGTCATTTTAATGAGCCCTGCAAACACACAGGCAGTCACCATTGGGCCCGCGAAGCCTCCCAGAGTCACACACACTGCCCGTGCCATACCTCGGTCTGGGGTGGAGGAAACTACTCCTGTGTCCACATAACCAGGGGCAGACCCGCCACTGGAAGACTGACCAAACATGAACCATCACACTCAAGGGCCCAAATGAGAGAGAATGCTGCTCGGCCTGTGGGCTGGGGAGCTCCAGCCCCGGGCCTGTGGGCTGGGGAGCTCTGGGGAGCCCCAGCCCCGGGCCTGCGGGCTGCGGAGCTCTGGGGAGCTCTAGCCCCGGGCCTGCGGGCTGCGGAGCTCTGGGGAGCCCCAGCCCCGGGCCTGCGGGCTGCGGAGCTCTGGGGAGCCCTAGCCCCGGGCCTGTGGGCTGGGGAGCTCCAGCCCCAGGTTGCCATCGGCCTGCGGGAGCAGGGAGGACAGGCCTGTGCCATGCTGGCCTGGCCACTGTCCCCAGTGGTTCTGTGAACATGGCTGACCTGCAGACACTGGGCTCTCCTATCTGCACACAGTCCTTTGCGGCAACCCCCAAAGCCGAAGTAGAACGGAAATCATTCATGTCATGCAAGAACATCAGCGTTTCACCGGTCACGAGAGGAATCCTGATGTAGTTTTTGATGACGGTGGAAGTTGGTCTTAGGATGAAGACCTTCTTGTGTGGGGCAGCCCAGCGCAAAGCCCTGCGCAGGCTCAGTGCGGCTGGCTGGCTGCTGAGCCACTGCCGGTCTCATGGTATGACACAGGCTGCCACCAGCAGCACAAGGTCTGTCCCGAATCCGAAAGGACAAGGAACTAGCACGTGATATTCTACATGAGGAACAACCTTGCCCGCCCGAGTCTCCCCTTAACAGTGATCTCTCCTGTCCAGACTGGAGTAGGGCTCAAAGCTGCCACACAGGCAGAGGGCACAGACGGGGCAGAGCCGCACACAGAGAGAGGACACAGACGGGGCAGAGTCACACAGAGAGAGAGGGAGAGAGAGACGGGGCAGAGCCACACAGAGAGGGCACAGATGGGGCAGAGCCACACAGAGAGAGAGGACACAGACGGGGCAGAACCACACAGAGAGAGAGCGAGAGAGACACAGACGGGGAAGAGCCACACAGAGAGAGAGGACACAGACGGGGCAGAACCACACAGAGAGAAGGAGAGAGAGACAGACGGGGCAGAGCCACACAGAGAGAGGACACAGACGGGGCAGAACCACACAGAGAGAGAGGGAGAGACAGACGGGGCAGAGCCACACAGAGAGCGAGGACACAGACGGGACAGAGCCACACACAGAGAGAGAGGACACAGACGGGGCAGAGCCACACAGAGAGAGAGAGGGAGAGAGGACACAGACGGGGCAGAGCCACACAGAGAGAGAGAGGGAGAGAGGACACAGACGGGGCAGAGCCACACAGAGAGAGAGAGGACACAGACGGGACAGAGCCACAGAGAGAGAGAGAGAGAGAGAGAGAGAGAGAGAGAGAGACAGACGGGGCAGAGCCACACAGAGAGAGAGAGAGAGGACACAGACGGGGCAGAGCCACACAGAGAGAGAGGACACAGACGGGGCAGAGCCACACAGAGAGAGAGGGAGAGAGGACACAGACGGGACAGAGCCACAGAGAGAGAGAGAGGACACAGACGGGACAGAGCCACAGAGAGAGAGAGAGACAGACAGACGGGGCAGAGCCACACAGAGAGGGAGAGAGGACACAGACGGGGCAGAGCCACAGAGAGAGAGAGAGAGGACACAGACGGGACAGAGCCACAGAGAGAGAGAGAGACAGAAGAGGACACAGACGGGACAGAGCCACAGAGAGAGAGAGAGACAGACAGACGGGGCAGAGCCACACAGAGAGAGAGGGAGAGAGGACACAGACGGGGCAGAGCCACACAGAGAGAGAGGGAGAGAGGACACAGATGGGGCAGAGTCACACAGAGAGAGAGGGAGAGAGGACACAGACGGGACAGAGCCACAGAGAGAGAGAGAGAGAGACAGATGGGGCAGAGCCACACACAGAGAGAGAGAGAGGACACAGACGGGGCAGAGCCACACAGAGAGAGAGGGAGAGAGGACACAGACGGGGCAGAGCCACACACAGAGAGGGAGAGAGAGACGGGGCAGAGCCACACAGAGAGAGAGGGAGAGACAGACGGGGCAGAGCCACACAGAGAGAGCACAGACAGGGCAGAGTCACACAGGCAGACGGCACAGCTTCGGTGCAGGCACAGACGGCAGTTCTGGGACCACCCATTATGGAGAGCCTGCCCACCCACCATGGATGCCAACAGGGTGTCTTGGTACCACTCTCTTCCTCTCTGACAAACTGCTTTGTCCACACCAAGATTTCAGGACATTTTTCCCGGAAGTTAGCTCCCACCTGCCTCTTAACAATACAAATGAGACACGCCAATCCCATTTTCACGAACGCACTCTCTTTTTTGTTTTCGAATGGAACACTCGCTGCCTGGTGCACTTCTGCACCCATCTACACGTACTTCCTTTCCTGGCCTTGCTTGTGTGTCACCTGCTGAGAAAACGGAGCTTTGTCATTGCAAAAAGTAAATAAAGGATGGATGGCAAGGAGAGGAGAAAGGAAGGCAGACAGGCATTCTCCACTTGAAATGTGGCCCTTTTATTTGAACTGAAAGGTGTCGTTACAAAGTGCAAACGGGTCTTTGGTACTTACTGAATACAATGAACATAACACCAGCATTGGGCCACTGGCCACAGTTAGAAAGTAAATAAATATTTACACGGCCTTCACCTCTCACAGCCCACGGTGGCTGCGGAGCGCACCCCGGAGCCGCCCGCCATCTTGGGTCATTCTGCAGACGTTTTGGCTTGAGTTACAGAATTTCATATGAATCAGTCAGCCTACCTCCACTGGTCTAAAGCCTGAGCTCCGCCCCCACCCGCCTGCCCCAGCACACCGCTGTGCTGACTGCCCGGCACACGAGGCGGGCTGCGCCCACGGCAAGCCCCAAGCCGCGTGCCCGCTCCCATACCTGAGCAGTTACATCACCACCACGTCTTAGACAAACTCACAGGCCACTCACAGAATCCCCACCAAGAAACCTGGCTTACTATTGCAGAAACACAAAACAGCCTCCGTCTGTCCTTACAAGAGAAGGGCAAAACAAGAGGACCACCCTTGCACAGGCAACGCGTGCGTCTGTGGTGAGGGTGCCGGAGGCGGCCTCGGCCGCTGTCCACAGCGCCTCGCTGCACCTCCCCGGGGTGGGGCGGCCCTCGGGCACGGGTGGTGCACACGCCATGCACGCCGGTGTGCATGACACCCCTGGCACTTCCGCCACCAGGTGTGCCAGCCCCTGGGCAGGGCCGTGCGGCCTGCCTGCCCCACAAGGGCACCAGACAGAGATCGGCTTCAGGGATGGTCCGCCCATCAGAGGCCACTCTGTGCGGAGAACACAATGGAAAGCTCCAGCCAGTTAAAGAGAGACCATGAGGTATGATGTTGCTCATCGCTGAATTAAACTGTTTTTTGCATAGAATTTTGATTTTGTACCACATCTAACACCTAAAAAGTGGGCGATTTTATAAACATCGTGCACTGACAAGCGCCCGTGAGGTGTAGGACTTGGGGTTTTCTGTTTTTTAAACAACGTAACTCAGACTTCCCCACATTCAAGTCTGGCCCACCCACGCGTCTCCCATCAGAAGGTTCTGGAAAAGGGGTCTAGTCCTTCTGGGGACCATCCTGCCTGCCAATGCCTGTGGTCTCTGTGAGGTCTTTGGATGCCGTGTGGACCGGAGAGTACGGTCCACAGCAAGGCCGTGTGCACACGCAGCGACGGGAACTAAGCCCTTCTCCAAACACAGTTCCAACAGCCGCTGTGGCAGGGCTGGCGGCAGGGTCGCGGGTGAATGAGAGGCTAGGGCCCGGGGAAGGCGGGCAGGCAGGATGCAGCGGGCCTCAGTGGGCCTGCAGAGATGGCTTAATGTGCTCTTAAGACTGTCCCTTTGCCAGGCAAGGGCTCCCTTGATGTCAGCCAGACCTCAGGCCTCGCCTGTTGGAAGCTCGAGGTCTCAGAACCAGGCAGAGAGGACGTCAGAGGTATGCTGTCTTACTTAGCAAAAAACGGCGTTTTTAGGCAGAATCAATTTAGGAACCCAAATGACCGAACTGTGCAATTTTACAATAGCACCAATTTTTCATTCTAAAAGAATTAAATAAAATCCTGAGAAGTCTAACATGCAGTGAAGACGGACATCTGCACCCCTGCCTGTCTGCTGCTTCCTTCTGCGATGTGGGGTCCAAAGCAGCCCGTGCCCAGGGAACAGCAGGGCGGCGGTCCAGAGTGTCCGGGGTCCAGGTTTTCCCCGGGGTCCGCAGCTCCGGTGCCCTGGGTCTGATCTCTCGAGGACGCTGCAGACCAGCTCAAGGGGCTCTGCCTAGGAGGCCCTCGGGGTATTCTCCTGAGGTCCCTCTACGCAGACTGGGCAGCAAGCTCCGTCCACCCGCGTGGGCTCAGGACAGGGTGCAGGCTGGCAGGCTTCCACGAAGCAGGTGACCTGTCCATCCTAGAAGAACGGGAGGGACATGCCTGTCATTCCTGACAGACAGCTGGGCACCTGGGATGGCACCGCTGTCATTCCCGGCATCCGGGCTGGGACACGGCTCTCCTCTCCTGAGCTCCATTCTCCTCAAGCCCAGGGATGCGAGGGTTGAGAAAGGCTAAAATCGGACCCTGCCAGTGCCCGGGGCCCCACGTCGGGCTCTGTCTCACCGCCTTAGCTGCCAGCTCAAGCTTCCCCTGGCGGCGGCAGCCACACTACGCTTCCGGCAGCGCTCCATCCCACCCTGCCCCCCCGTCCACGGCCGCCCTGCTCCGTCCAGCCCAGACTGGACAGAGCCACGAGGGCAGGTAAGTGCTCCGCTGGCCCCGGGACAGGGCGCACACAGTGGCGTTCTAGTTTCTGCAGTGGGCCTGCGTCCTCCACAGCCACCGCACAGGTGCGGGGGTAACCAGGCCAGGGCTGGGGCAGGCCCAGCGGGCTCCGGGAGGGTGGAAGGACAGTGGAAGGCCGCCGCCCTCCGGACATGGGCACGGCGCGGGCCGGTACTCACTCTGCATTCACAGGTGCTGCACGCGTCTCTTCTCCACGTTGCGTGGTTGGCGTGCACCTTGCCGTCGGCGTCCACACACTGCGCAGTGCTGAGGCGAGACTCCAGCGTGTTGATCTGCAACGGGGCACAGAGCGTCCGCCCTGCAGCTCTTGTGCAAAACATTCCTACCTACACTAGGCTGAGCAATGGCCGGGACCTCAAGGGTACTGACTGGACCGGTGGGCGCTAACCAGGCGGAGGTCTGAGTCAGCAGGGCAGCCACCGCCCACCGCCCCGCCCCGCTGTAACGACATCAGAGCACTGAGGCTGGACGCAGCCTAGCCGCTGGCAGGCCACAACAGGAGCCACAGGAGGGGCATCCCCCGGGGGCCACCCCCCCCATCCACCACCAGACACAACCACCTTCCAGTGGCCCAGCCGGGCTGTGGACAGGCCACAGGGAACAAGGCTCACAGGGCCTGTACCTGTCTTCTGAGGTCTGTGATGGTCCTCTGCATCTCCTGGACAAATTCCTTGAAGTCATTTGTCGCTGTTCCTTCTGAGAGTTCGGAGGAAGCTGTCGTGGCATTGCTGGGTGCACCGTGCTTTGCACTGAGGGGCGGGGGGAGGAGGCGCAGCGATGGGTCCTCCTGCACCCAGCAGGACCGAACAGGACAGACTACAGACCTGCCCTCCACCCTGGGGGACAGCCCGGCGAAGCCCGGCCCACTACAGACCTGCCCCTCCACCCTGGGAGACAGCCCTGCTAAGCCCGGCCCACTACAGACCTGCCCTCCACCCTGGGCGACAGCCCTGCTGAGCCCGGCCCACTACAGACCTGCCCTCCACCCTGGGGAACAGCCCTGCGAAGCCCGGCCCAAGGCAGGAGCGCAGGCTGATGGAGACAGCTCCTGCTGGACGCCATGGGGCGGGGAGCTCCTTCCATAGCCACACCCAGATCTCACCCCAGCTCCTTCTGCGGTCTCGCTCTCTTGGTAGGCTCATCCTCCTGGTAGCTGAAATCCAGAGACCGCTTGCTCCGGAAGTGGTAGGAGAATGCGTTGAACTGTCCCCTGGTCCTGCAGTCTGGAGAGAGGCAGAGATGGCTCTGACTTTAGCAGAAAATAAGCACACCTTGTCCAAGAGCGACTACCTTCTATGGTGTGTCTGTGAAACCCACAGAACACCCAGAAGACAGGCAGCAGCGGACGGGCTTGTGGAGCCCAAGAGCTGGCCGCTCTGGCCCTAGCCCAGGCCCACGGCACCACCTGCCACCTGCATCACCAGGACAGGCCAGCCCACCGTGGCTCCGATGCCCACCCTGCCATCCCTGCCACCTGCAGATGCCGCTGGTCCCACAGCACACAGAGAATGTCTGCCCACATCCTGGGCTGAGTGCCAGGAGGCTCTCTGCCCCTTATCCAAAACCAATGATGTCAACCTGGAGTGCCACTGCCTCTCAACGTGGCTGAGGCTTACCCTAAGCTCTATTATTATATTTTGGGGGGGGTCCGGTTGTGGGGCCTGAACTCTGGGCCTGGGCGCTGTCCCTCAGCTCTTCAGCTCAAGGCTAGCACTTGCTCTACCACTTGAGCCACAGTGCCACTTCTGGCTTTTTTCTTTTTGCTTATGTGGTGCTGAGGAATCGAACCCAGGGCCTCATGCATGCAAGGC